TGATGCGAAATTTCTCTCAATGTTAGAATCCAAAAACATCATAGATTTTTAAGTGTTTTTCTTTCGATAAATGCCAAATACTGCCCTTATTGAGTGCTAGTATTACAAATAACAGACTTTAGAGCTTCATGAAGTCATAGTTTCTCCGGATGTATCAATGATATTTTGCTTATCAAATATGTAATTGAATGTGCTCTTTCTCACGAGATTATTTTCAGCTTGAAATTCGATGTCTAGTAAAGCATTTTTTCTTTAACCATTTTCCTTGATAGTCAATTGACGTCTTTGTCGACTATTATACGACGATTTTCGAACAAAAAACCCTTTTTTTGACTTTAAATGAATGTCATATGCGAAATCATCAAGAAAAATCAAGTCAGTTTATACATGTTTACAATTGCTTCTGCAAGTTTTTTTCGATGAAATTTCTTCTCGTGATACCCTTCAGAGATATATCAAAATATCAACTTCATAGAAAAGGATACTGCCACTGGAAATGTAGTACTGATTTTGTGAAATATCATGTTGAGATCTAATCCGATGTATTTAGATATTTAAACAGTTATTTTGAAGTAACTCATTTTCCCACGAATCTCTCAAGGAAACGGAGGTTCGACTTCGATCAAAAAAAACTCGCTGAAACAATTTTAAACATGCCTAAGTTAATTTAGTTTTCCTTAATTATTTCGAATATGATATTCGTTCAAAAACAAAAGAGGTATGTTGTGTCCAAAAATCATCGAATACCAGTCGAAAAAGATGTAAGTTGGCTGATAAGTAAAGTGTTTAGAGCAAAAGTACTTTACTAAGCATCGAGTTTCAAACTAAACATGATATCGAGAGAAAGAGCACATTAAATCACATATGTGATAAAAACAGTCTCGCTGATACACCTGAAGAAACTATAACTACATAAAACTCGAAAAATTATTTTTTGTAACAATACTATACAATTGGGACGATATTTTGCATTTATCAATAGAAAAGAAACTTGAATATCTTAGACAGTGTCATAGAATCTGATAGAGACAAAAATTTTGCATCAAATGGACTTGGTTTGGTGAACGTTAGTCGAGTTTTAGTGAACTTTCACCTCAAAAACTCGTTCTAAGGCTTCTAAAGAGTACTTCAGATCTTCCCTATCACCTGAAATACGTTTGAAGAAAACTGATATTTGTAATCAGCACACTTATTGCTATCGAGCTATAAAAAAAAACTTTCTCAAAATCTGAGAAGGATCCTAGTTGTCAAAAATTGAATCTTGAGAAAATATAAAATCAATTAGATTAAAATAATTAGGACTCGATTCCTTTGATTTTACATGTATGATTCATTCCATTGGATTCTCTTTCATTAAAAAAATTCATTGTTTCTTTATTCCTTTGCTTTTTCTACATTTTTTAAAGTCATATTAAAGGACTATACCTGCTTCGGTTCGTGTTCGGAAAAGAATCTGCTTGGGATAATTCCTTCAGGAAGAATATTTTTAACAGTGCAATATATAGATTTGGAGATGTTCTTGTATACTCCGATGGCGTTTGGAAATTATTTCAAAGTATGAATACTAAAAACATGATTTGACAAGTTCTGAGAGATTGAAATAACTCCTATGCAGCTAGATACTTTAGAATCAATTGAAACGCAGAGAAAGAAAGCTCTAGAATTCAAATAGGAGTAGAGCACGAGCGGAAGGGAAAACTTTCGAATTATCCGTTCATACATAGATTTATATAAGCCATTTTTTCGTATGGCAATCCTAGACGATAATGAAGTTTTAATATATATATGGTATTAAAACAACAAAATTTAAGCAGATGTATGTACATAGTTAGATGGAGCGTAAAGAGTTGGTCAGCAATATACGTTTTTTTTAATTAGATTTTAGAGTCGTAATTCCAGTTTTTGTTGATTGGTTACTTGCCAAGAAAAAAACGGTCAATTAGTGATAACTAGGAAATTGTCAGTTGTGCTTTTTTTACTTTGCATTTCAAAACCTCTTGCTTCAAAGGACAGGTTCGCATAAGACGTCAAATTTACCTATTAGCACTTTTCTTGAACAAACCTATCGAATCATATATCAATGGAAAGAGTATGTTGAGGCAAGCATCCTGGTGCCAGTTTCACAAGTTTTCGGTCAAATTTTGAAAATTAAAAGTTATGAACAAAGTAATGCATTTTTGGTTACTTTTTTCCAATAATCAAACGTATCCATATAGATTCCATTGGGTAGTAAGTAGAACATACAGAATGTGATTTTGCAGATTGAAGTGACCAAAGTTTGGTTAGTGTTCGTTTGGTAGCTCTTTGGAAAAGCTATGACATTTGTTTACAAGGTGAAAAAATATGATCCCTTAAGAAATTCCTTAGTCGTCTATTTTCCTGATGAAGCTTTGTTGTCCTTTTAGACAATGTTTAAAAGATTTCGATTAGAAAAATATCGATTTCAATAAACACTAATATAGTGTTTGGAACCAGTATAACAAATGAGTTGGTCTCTGTAGATTTCAAACAATTTGTAGCATGCTTTCCTCCGTTCAAAAATTACTAGTGATTCCTCTCATGGACCTGATGAGAAATAAATTCTGTCAAATCATGGTTCGGCGAACGCAGAAAAGCCATGAAACTTCCTTGAAATTATTAGATGGACAAATGCCAACTATCTGAAAAATAAAACCAGAGTTTTTATTGAATCATTTTGTCACCAAGTTCCTGACGGACGGACCCTAGCTAAAACTTTTGATCAAAAAAGGAAGACTCAGAATTTGTTGAAACTGTGCATGCATCGAATTAGTTTGTTTGGGTATGCGTGTGTATTTTCTATTTTCTCACACCACACATCCTTACCCTCAATAAAAAGCTATAGAAATTATAGCATCAATCACATTCTGTGTGTTGTGTTTATTATCTAATGGAATCCACAGTGAACCGTTTTATTATTGGAAAAGTGACGAAAAATGAATTATTCTGTTGATAGCTTTTAACATTCAAAATTTGATCGAAAACTCATGAAACTGACACCAAGATGCTCGTATCATTGGTGTATTATTCAAGTGGTTTGATCAAGAAAAGTACTAATGGATCCATTCAAAGTCTTATCCACTGTTTCCTTTGGTGTCACTATTACAATCTTAGTGAACGGTTGTAGAGCTGGAGTGATGGGTTTCGTTTTTTTGCTGTTGTATGAAGATGTATACTATAATTTCAATAATTTGGAAAGAACTATTTTCACAACTAATTTATTGACTGTGGTAGTCATGTTGAAGACCAACACGTTATCTATCTCGTGTTTTTTTTAAGAGATTGAAAATCATATTTTGGTCATCATATAAAAAGTGTAAAATAAACTTTCTTATCTTCCCTCTACTGCATTGAAATAGTTTTTCTTTTGTTATTGTTCACTCCTTTGTTAATAGTGCATGCCATCCACTTGGATCGATTTCGCTCGAGAAAACCTCGTGGAACTAGTTTCACGTTCAATTATTGACTACGATCGCTTCGATGAGTCACTCACTAACAAACGCAGTTAGTTTCATCATTTTCCGTTTGCACCCGATGACCATAGGTAACTAATTCCAGTCGAATCCACATTGCCAAAAACGATATAATCGTATGAGTGAAAATGTCCCATGCCGATATAATTGGACATGCTGCTGTACGAAGAATTGAAAGGATTTTATCACGGAACTAAGTGACATTCACCGAAGCAGATTTTAATGATTTTATGACACTGGATCGTACTGGATGACATCGAATATGAACAGATCTGATGGTTTCCAGCTTCATATACCTGATTGGGAACCAGTAAGTCCGATATGTGATTTTCAATGAAAAACAATGTGAATAACCGGAATACGCCATAAAGAAACCATCCGAATCTGACTGCCATGTAGTCACGAACTTTGAATCCATTCGACAACATCCAGCGTAACAAGCTTGACCTCAGTTATTTCTGTATGTGTGCACTGTGCTGCACTAGAAAGATTAAGAAAATTTTTCACTAAGCTTTTATTCCGTGTCGGAACAGAAGTAGCAAAAGTCTAAGAAAAAACGAAGAAAATGATATATTAGCCATGAATCGAAACGCCATCGAAAAAAAAACATCCACATTCAATAGTGTTGAGAACAATGAGAGCAAACCTTTTTTTTCTAGTTTCAAACTTTTGTTCTTTTATCACTTAGAGGAATTCCTTTATGTGGGCGCATATACTTGCAAGTGTGCTCGATCCAAAACTGAGTTCACATTGTACCAACAGATAGATCAATATGTAGTGACGCCGTTTATACTTGCAGGAAACATCAGGCAAGTGTAAATGCATGGTTCGACCTGTGATATAGAAGGCCTAGTTGTGCTTCAAGTCGAATCGGGATATAGTTAAGAATACATGTGTGTCAGTGCTGAATTTCGAATATGGCGTCATTTTTTTTGTAAATAATTTAAATATGAACCATTTTTTTCAGCTTGAGTATTAAGGTTTAAAAAGTAGTCCTGACCTAAAAAAAGAATCGATCTAGAACGTATTGTTTTATGAACTAAGCTGAATTCTCAGCCGTTTTGTCTAAAAATACAGATTGTTATCATTATGAAAGTTGAAAGCTATTTTAGTGCTACAGGTCAAGTTTTCGTATGCGTTTTAACAAGTTTTCAATTTTTTCCTTCTATGTAATGCATTGGGTAATATATATGGGTGGGTGTGGGTGTGGATGTGGATGTGGGTGTGGGTGTGCTGTATAAAGGTATACAATACTCACACCCCACACCCACACGCACCATCACACCCACACTCACACCCACACTCACATCCCACACTCATCCACACCCACACCCCACACCTATCTACACCAACACCCACACCCACACCCACCCACCCACACCCACACCCACACCCACATCCACCATTCAATAAGGTTTGTTATTATAGAAAATAAGGTATTTGGGTCTTCATCTTTTATGTTTTTTATTTCTCTCTTGATTTTAGTTTCTTTGACGGATTATTATTTATATGATGAGAACAGGCATTACTATTATTCTAATCTTTGTATTTTGTGTATCTGTTACGTTCACTCGACGAATACATGATATTAATTTACGTGCGGCTTATGATCCATCATCTACTGCTGGTCTAACCCAAGCTTCTACTGGCACTGTGAGCGGTTATGGTGAAGTTCTTTTTTCTGTGGAAAAGACAAATCAAGTTGTTTATGTGGAAACTACCATGATTGTTCCTCCTAAACAAGCTTCTAAAGGTACATTATTTTTATGGCCCGGTTTACAACCTGGTGGAGCTAATTTTGATCCAATCGATAATGGAGTATTACAACCTGTATTAACCTGGGGTACTTCATGTGCTCCAGGTACTCAACCTGCAGCATATTCTACTTGGTGGATTTCTGCACAATATGTCAACACCTATGGCAAGTTACCAGGGTATACTGGTTGTCAGGGCGGTCCAATCATGACTGTAAATCCTGGGGATCACCTATGCATCAGATTTCAGTTAAGAGGCACTAATTGGACTCAAACTGTGACAAATCATGCTACCAATAGGGCAGTGACGTTTAGTATTAACATGCGTGAACAAGCTCAAAATAATTTATTTTTCATTATCGAGAAATATTCTAGTACTTTCGTGGACGATATAGTATATCTGAATTCGTTTTGGAAATTTGCTAAACCAAGTAGCAATGGGTGTAATTTATCGTCTCGTGGGATAAAAGACTTTGTGTCTACACCACACTTGTCTGCGGATCAACTATCATGTTCTGTAGCGAAAATAATACAACGTGCACAAGAAAATCCACGGCCGAGTTTTTAAAGAACAATTGAAATGCTTTTTTTAATGAAATCACCATTTGTTGACTTTCTTTCTTCATGCAACTTACTTCTTTATTTTTAAATTCAAATAAATTGCTTACAGCTTCACAATAAAGTTAGAGATATTTATTTCTAGTCACTCATAGCGTCATTAAAGTAACACTAACTATCTCCACTGTAGGTTGTCAGCTCTCGTTCAGATCACTTTGTCTCTTTCGCTTTGTTTTCTAATGAAAGTGGATATAGTGTTTCATATGTGACACTGGTTGATATGAAACTATACTTATCTTTGTAATAGTCAAGTTTTCAGAAATGAGAATCGCTCGAATTGTAATCCTATACGTTGACAGTATCGAACAATTGCGTTATGCTTTCAGTGTCCGTCAATGACCAGTGATCATTTGAGTGACACTATCTAGAATGTAAATTCAAAGTGGGCTACTTTTCATAATAGAAGGAATAGTAATGAAAATCCACTGCAGGACTGTTATATGCAATACAGAGAAATATAATGTTCGTATGATATAGTGAAAAAACAAATAACAACCGATCATGTATTGAAATACTTCCAGAAGATAATCAATTGATGCAGTGAACAAGTACTATGAAGCAGGATATCGTTGATACGGGTTTGGTTGTAATAAATTCAATAATAATAAGAATGTGTAATCTTTAGAGACAATGCATTCAAGAATTACCTTTTTCCACTTTCTGCTCAAGTAATGATGCTTGTGGATACTTGCGTACAATTTCGCACTTGAAAGTTCGACCGTTGCGGTGTCCTACTATCACTTTGATATCCATCGTCGGTGTATTGATGAATGTTGTTTCCCATATCTGATGAATGTCTTGTTTGTAAGAGGTGAGGCTTTCTCATGTGTATAATGTTGGATGAGACGATCAACCCATGTTTTTTCTTTGATCGTAGTTGATTTGTTTTGTTGAACGTTGGCAGTGGTATTTTCCTTGTCATGGTGGGCAGCAACTAAAGCAGCACTTTTGCTTATTTGTGACTGCTGATAAGTCGGAATGACCAGTAATTGAGCTCGCATCCGAAACATATCACTCTCGTTTTCAATCAGTGGCAAGAGATCCGACATCGACACGTTGTATTTTGAAAAGAATTGATTGAATTGAGCATCGATAAAACTCGACAGATAACTAAGCAACGATGCAAGTAGAGGCAGAAGCATATTAGAATAAACGATATACCCATTGCAAAGTAACATGAGTTTGATGTTAGGACGCTCAGTGTCGAACGCTTTCAATGTCGATGAATAGAGGACAGCTCGACCCAGAGTTCTTGAACGATGTTCCTGAATGTATGCCGAGTATGATTGAATTTGAAAGGCACAACGTAGGGCGCTGCCGCTTCTTTGTGATAAACTGATGTTGATAAGATGCCACTGTTGTTCCCGATGTGAATATCAAGAAAGTTGACACACTTTCCGATTTCATATTTGTTTTGAGTAGCGATTGAATCGCTCTATTCATGAGATTATTCTCTATAGCATAACCATCAAAATCTAAACGAAGCCGACAAAGTCATTTGAATTGATCAAATGTCGGAAATATCTAGGCTTTTTGTTTTCAATAACGAGGAGAACTGGTTCTCGCTTTTCATGAGAATTCGTTCTAGTGAAATTGCGCTCCGTTGTTCGATTTGACTGTGCATTCGGGATATATAATCAAATTGGATGACTGCTGACAGTTTGAATTCTTTGATCTGCAATAATCAGTGAAAGAATGAAAAGATCAATCGTCTATTCAAGCATCTCTTTTATTGTTGATGCACATCAATTAGTTACGAACAGACTAGGCCACTGTTCTACATAAATAAATACCCTTGTCATCGTTCTGAACAAGCACTAAACGGCATTCTCTACTTTAGCATGGCATCGTCTGCCTATGCACTCTCAACATTTCAGCCTCCTGTAGGCTCTAGTGCCATTGAATTTCTCAACACAATTACGACGGCTAAAGTCATTGCTCTTAAAGCTGAAATAGTGACTGCTGTTTCACATCTATCTCTTATTAATTCCGAACATGTCCACTTTGAATTTAGGATATGGATTTGGATGGCTGTGGTTGTGGCTGTGACTGTGATTGTGGGTGTGGATGTGGATGTGGGTGTCGATGTGGATGTGGATGTCGATGTGGATGTGAGTGTGGGTGTGGGTGGGTGTGCGTGTGCAGAAGATCGACACCGACACCGACACCCATACCCTTAACCACACCCACCTACATCTACATCCACAACCACACCCACACCCTACCAGCTTGGTTTCTTTTCTAACGAAACAAAGATATAGGACGTGACTTATTATTTTAGTAATATTTTTATATAAAGAATTGTGATAATATATTAATTGCTATAAGCGACAATTCTAGTTGTTACTAAACGTACTCATTAATCAAAAAAGTGACCAGGAGAAAATCCATGACATGTTCAATAAATCTGATTTAAAACTATAATTTTTAAATATATACTTATCTAAAAAGTTGCAAATAACAAGGAAGCTTATCTCAAGTTTACGTCTATCGTGAAAAAAAACGTTATTGATTTTTGAGATTATTCTTTGTTATGCTTCTTTTATCGACTTGACTAAGCAAGAAAAGTAGTCTATTATTATATCCAATCCAAATAGACACCTGATTACAGCGCGGTTAAATCCTATGTAAAGCAATGAGGAAAAAAACTTATCTCATTCTTATTATTGACATAAGTCACGGTAAATAGTCAACTGTTACTGACGACATTTCACAATAACTGTAAAACTTGTCTACAGTGGATAAAAAATATATGATTGAAATAATACCCTACACGTCATGTTCAAAATGATTGCTCAGCAATACATGATCAATCAAAGGTCAGGTACTATTTTATAAATTTTCGAAAGTTTTGATCAATTATAGAGAATTCTATTTAACACCTTTATCATCATAGAACAAGATTCTCAAATATAAATCGTCTTTAAAGAGAGTAGTTGTAGTGCTAAAAGCAACAGACACGCGTCACATCTAGACCCACAGCGATATCGGCATTCACGCTCGCCTACACCTCGTGTTGAAGAAAGAAGAATATCTAAAGTGCACTTTGTTTTTTTTCTCTCTGGTCGTCAAACACAGCCATTGGTAGTCACATTTCTTTTCTTTCCTACTCGTTCTTAAATAAACGTTCGAGTATTGTAGAAACGCATGAGAACTATAGTGAGAATATGAATTAACAGAAGCAGAAAAACAAATTGCTAATGATTTAAAAATTTATGATTATTTATTCTACCTTTATCGTCACTTTTTTATTCAGCTGTATTATTCATTGTCTCTTTTCTTTCTCTACAAATACTGTTAGCTTGTCTATTGACATGACTCTTTTTGACACAACGAATAACAACATCTACAAGAATCCATATAAAATGTTCCAAATTGCATAGTAGTTACAATAAACATGTATCATTCGTTCATTGCCAATTTGGTCTTTGTTTTCTTTGAGATATTTACTTTCTTCACATAAGAACAACTCTAGTCGTCAAAAGCATGGCTAAGGAATTATCTAACAAGAGTACATCAGAAGAGCTACCTGATAAAGGTTTGTTATTTTATTTATCAGTTGTGATTAATGTAAGAAAACAAATTTTTGTTAGAAATTGCTGTGCTCAAAGCCAGTACCAAGCTTAGCGAACAAGGTTAGTAGAAGTCAGATACAATCATAATGTGAAATTTTTCTTTGACTTATTTAGAAATACGACACTTTTATAATGCATGTAGAAAAAACATTTATGAAAAGATTTCTTTTCATAAATGCTACTTTTTTTTCTCCTTTAGCATTTCAAAAGTGAATGTCCATCAGGCAAAATGAACAAAAAACAATTCTATAAGTTTTACGAGGCAGTCATGGGATCCAAAATGAAACCTAACGACGCTGTCAAGTATGTCATTGCATTTCTCATATTTCATCGTAATTGTTCATGGCTGTTTTAGACTTGCGTTTTCAATAATTGACACTAATCATGATGAATCAATTGATTTTACTGAATTTGTATTATTTTTCGGTATGGAAAGAAAACATGATCTGGATAGTAGACTCGAAATTATGTTCGAAATGTAAGTTTACGTTTCGAGTATCTACACACAATCAAACGAGTAGAGAAGCCAGTCATTCAAATAAAAAAAAACCATCAGTCGAAGAAAATGAGAGCGAAACTTCTGAAACAGTAACAATGTTTTCTTACTATGAAGAAATCTTTTCTCCAAACAAAACAAATTTATTGTTTCCATTTCTAAATTTCTGAATGTGTGATTAATCGAACATTCATTTTTCAACTTTAGAATGGATACATCAGGCGATGGATTTGTCAGTTACGACGAGATGGTCAACATCATGCAGAAAGCGGTAAGATTTCCCTTTTTCTGTTCTTGTTGAAATGCTAAATAGAATGTTGATATCTTTTTTTTTCAAGTTGAGAATGGGAGGTAGTGCAGGAGCAGAAGATGTTGATGCAAGGATGATTGCTACAGAGATCTTCAACATGTTTCATCTTGATAAAGAGCAAAAATTAAGCAAAAAGCAATTCATAGATGGGTATCCATGAATATGTGTCCTCTTCTTTTCTTATTCATAATCTTGTTTTAGATGCAAAAATGATAAAGACCTTACCAAAATATTTGGATCCTCATGAGTGCATTCTACGATGTAACAAAGAAACTTTTTTTTCTGTGATATTACACATGGCCAATAGGAATAGGTTGTCATAATCGTCTTTTTTTTCAATAAATCGCTTTTAAGATTGCACTGAGAAAATGGATTACACATATTCAATAATAATTTATATTTGGATTCGCTTTCAGTGCTTTTCTTACAAATAGTAACAATTTAATGAGTCATTTTCGAATCGATCATATTTTACTGTTTTGTATTTCATTCGAGGTATAGGTATATGGTCAGTAGAGTATGGATGTGGATGGGTGTGAAGGAAGATAAGAGCTACACACCCGCACCCCGATAATATAGGCGGCCATCAAGATCAATCATTTCGTCGATGTTCCGGTCACGACAAGAGTGTGGGTGTGGGTGTGCATATACTTGAAGGCAATACACACACCCACACCCTAACAATGATACAGTATCATTCGATGAAGTTCGCCAACCTGCAGAGATCAATATGGACTACAGACTTGATATAAAGAGCTAGGCGAATATCATAGAACGAGACTGGCATTTTTCATAAGAGAATCACTGTCAAAAATAATGTCGTTGTAAATTTTCCTATAGGTTTTATTGTAAAACTAATCTAGTGATATTATTCCATTGGATATTCGACTCTGTACAAGATACAGTCATGACATGAAAATGATAAATTCTAATAGGCAAAATTTTAAGCAAAATTCCTTGAATTTATCGTTGTCTCTTTGTTTAACATATAAGTTCGAGAAAAAAAAATCACCATAAAATTCTTTCTACATGTGAATTTATAAAACCATTAAGTGTTCATGCGAACAATCGTAAATAAATTTTATTGTCTATTTGTTCGATTGTATAATTGAAACATAATTGTTCAATGTCAATTATCCTTTTTAATTTGTCGACAATGTCTATATCTGTTTGTGAAATTTTAAAACAAACTAAATATAAATTTAAGATGAATTTGATATGTTTCATTAGAATAAAACGTAAAATTGTTTCAGGTAAAATATCATTTGTACAATTCACATCGAAATATTTCATACGAGGACAAAGATCAAAAAGAAATTTAACTTATGCCAAGTCATTCATTCGTTGAAGTCTGACTTTAGTAATTTTGTTCTTTAATGATAACAAACGAAGAGTTCTTGTTTCTTCAATAGATAAACATCTCGATTCTACCATTTCTAAAGATGAAATTATTAATGAATCAAGATTAGGTATACATCCGATAAACTTGATTAACGTTCTAATGAAAATCTCATTGCGAGTAATATTTAAACATGTAATTCGTACTGCTGCTTGAATGTGGCAAATCATGTCAAAAAAGCCTTGATTAAATGTATAATATGATAGATCGATAATGTCTAATTGATTAGTTCGAGAAAGTATCATAGAAAATGAGGCAGACATTTGTTCATTTGAAATGATACTATCTTGTTACATATTTTCATCAAAATTATCAATGAAATTAACCTTTTGTGACATGCTTTCATGAAAATTATCTTGTACTTGCCTGCAAAAAAGAAATACAGACAAAATTATGTTTCACAACAATGATTCTTTTCAAAAAAACCTGTATGGAAAAATGGAAAAAGTAATAACATTGTTGTCTGAAGAGTCTGTGTCAATAGAAATTCTGAAAATCCATTTTCGTTTTATCCAAAATGAAGAGTTGAATTGATTTAATCTTTCATGGTAAATAGTTGCTTGCAAATGTCTATCAATAATTTCACTGTACTGAAATTCAAATATATTTAAATGTTGTAAATATTGTGAAATTAGTCGTTCCCATCGACGTGCATCCAAATAATTTACATCTATGAAACTGTTCAAACGTAACATTTCTAATTGAGATGATATCTTCGTAACAAACGTTTCTATTTCATTAAATTTTGCATAACACCTACTGATAGAAATACGCGCCAGACTTAATATTGAACAAAGTGTATCTTTAACGATGTTTTCGTTCGATTGATCCACTTGTTCACAAGTCAATCGACATAGTTGAGGAGTGCATGAAAGTAAAACGATTAATTCATTGAGACTACAACAATGATCAATCATCAGATATTTAATAGTAGTACACTGTTTGTTAATTCTTATTGATATAGGCATTAACGTTTCAAATGCAAAAAATGATAATTTACAGTATTTTAACATAGATAAATTGAAAATTGCTTGATATATATTGCTGATCTCTTCAGGATCATGATCATAATTGATTGTTAATGAGAATAGACGAGGTAAAGATATCAAGCTTATGAGAAGAGATATGAGATCATTTGATCTGATACTACGTAATATCAGGCTCTCAAGGCAAGTAAATGATGAATCGATATTGAACAATGTATACCCTAGATTATAATTATAACTAAAGGGTCAACTAAGTGAAATAATTCGATGCTTGTTTGGAGCGAAAACGTAAGTCGAGCAACATTCTAGGGTAGAATCCGGGCGAAAACGAAGATCAATTTTTAGTCGAAGCGATGAACAAGTAATTAGAGCTTGAAAACGATTATTAAGATTTGAAAATGCTTTATATATTTCACAACCATCAAGGAAATCAAAAATTTCATAGAAAACTTCATTAGATAAATTTTCAATATAATTAATTATTTTTCTATAAAAGAAAAATAAAGTCAAGTTAAAACTTACTTTTCATTCTTCCTACTTGTCATCATACGTTGCTACTTAAATAAATATAAATAACAGTGCATTATAGAATGACGACAATATGTAGAACTTACTTCGAAACTTCTCTGTTTTTTCTTTTTCGGAGGACTCATTTGTACTCAACTGTCGTTTTATTTCAAGCATATTTGTTGGAAAAAGTATTTTATCTAAAACAATTCGTAATATTATATAATTGAATAAGTATTTACAATTGTACAGAATTATTATCTATAAAGAAAAAATCAGGATTTGTCGTCATCTTATTGTGCTAGGTTTTCGAGAATCCTTTCATATGTAAAAAACAAAAACACAAGACGATATATGTATTTTGCAAATGTGACAGCAATAGATGACGTGTCAATTCTTATACTTTTTCTTTTTCTTCCTATTTTTTCCTGAGAAATATTCCCTAGAGAAAGTACTGAGTTCAGGGTACCCATGTACTGAGAAAGCTCTAGCAGGGTACCCAATATGGGTACTTTGAAAATTCTCAGTAATTTTACTGATGTATGTACTGTTTGGGGTATCCGTAAAAGTACATTCACTGAATAAGTACCTGCATGGATACACAAGTCTGTAACTTTACTGAGGAAATCTCGACAGGGTATCCTAAATTTTTCGCGTTCTGTGTGACGACTATTCATTCACCGTTTTCTTTTTTACGTACGGCTCTATATAAACAACTCGATAAATCATAAGAAAATAATCAATTTTCATACTAGTTTTTTCTAAATTATTTCTTGACTATTTCTTAGTTGAGGAAATGCCGAGCTTGGTCGTAAATTAAGATCGGACTACCCTGAAGTGGTCTACGACCAACTCAAGTTGAGTCGGATCCCGACATTGTTCCTGCTAAGTTTTTGGAATTGAAAAAATTAAATTGAATAAAGTAAAAAAAAATTTAGTAAATTATCTCAAGAAAAAGAAAGAATTTTAAAAAGTCAAAGATCAGGTTCGATCCTGAACATACTGAAAATTTGGTAACAGGGTACTTAGAAATACTATACAATGGTACCCAATTCAGTACTTGATCAGTACCTTTAGGTACCCAATTACTGTGCATTTTCCAGCAGGGTACTTGCCAAAGTACCACTTAGGTACCTGTAAGTACCTGCAAGTACTTTGGTACCCAAAAGTTCCTGTGACATACTGGTATCAGGGTACTTTTTTGGGTACCCTTAACTCAGTATATTCTCTAGGGTTTGACATGATTCATCTATAGCGTTTTTTTTTCGAGCATGCACGCAAAAAATTGTGTTAATTTACTCGATAGTTGAAAAAAGTACTAAGTAATTGGAAGTAAATACTTTCGTATAGTATAATGTGATATCTTCGTTTTGATTATATTCAATTTTTATTATTATTCATTAAAAACAATTTACATAGGCGGCGCAAACTAAAGTTTCTAGAGGAAACAATAAAGTTGGGTGTGAGGTGTGTGGGTGTGGGTGTGGCTGGGCGTGGGTGTAAGTGTGAATGTGATAGTTATTTTTCTTTTCATTCATACCCACACCTACATCCACACCCCACTCCCCACACCAACACCTACACCCCACACCCACATCCACACCCACACCCACATTCACACCCTAGTTTCGGACGATTCTGGTTAAAATAAAAACAAAAACTGAAAAAAAAATTGACGAGTGCCTCGATTTCTCGATAGCCTCATGGGCCTTCTCTTAAAGAGGAAACATGAGCATATGAAAGTCGTTATAATTAGAAGTAGGCAGTCCGGTCTGCATTTCTCTCATGTGCGTAATGCACACACTTCTACTACTTTCTTTCATAGTGGAACTGACTGTGAAAAAGTACAGTCCATTCTTTTTTTTTTGATCGACTCAGACTACGCGTAAACTATGATAGAATTATGAGTCACGAAGAATGTTTTTCTTTTTATTTCTTTTTTCTTTACATAAGGCATCAGCGGAAGAAAATGAAGAAAGAACGAGAATAAAAATGTGGGAAAAAACCCATATTTCTTTTGGGTTTTTCCTGATTAAAACGAGTACAGAGAGTATAAGAAATTCTGTTCGAAAAATATATGCTCATCTGGTAAACTGTTGAAAAAAAATAATAATAATTTACACCATGGCTTTGGCAGCAGAATTAGTTACATATGTTTTTGAAGCGTTTCCAAATGCGTCAGCTTTACTAGAAGAGATACTTTCAAAGTATGCTGACCAAATAGTTTTATATGCTGGGTTTGGTTTAGTCGCTCTGTGGGAATTTATATACGATCGTCTACGTGAACGAGATCCGGAGACAATTGCCATAACAGCGGCTAGTGAAATGACTGCAGAAGCATCAGCATCTTCTCATCAGCCTGTCTATGTACCGAATGGATACAGCGCCGCTGACAAGAAAATACTTGAACAAATTCTGGATAATGAAACGAAAGAGGAACGGAAAAATCAACTACGCCAGTATCGTAGAAATGGTACATTTGAAGATGCCAAAAATGATTTCGACAAATTGTCTGGCGATGCGGAACAGAAGAAACCCAGAGTCTGGATGAAATCATTACCGTACGGAAAGAGGGTAACAGTCAAGGGGGAAAGTGCAGGCACCCAGCACCTGCTCAGCACCTACAGCACCTACCAGCACCTATACCGCATTTCACTATGGGCACCTACAGCACCTACGGCACCTGCAACCACTCTTTCATTATCTTAAGTACTTTTTCAGCACCTGGTGATAAAATTTCGTGTTTAGGCTCTGCCCTTTAAATTTTATTACCAGGTGCTGAAAAAGTACTTAAGATAATGGACGAGTGGTTGCAAGTGCCGTAGGTGCTGTAGGTGCTCATAGTGAAATGCAGTATAGGTGCCGAACAGGTGCTGTAGGTGCTGGTATGTGCTGTAGGTGCTGGTAGGTGCTGTAGGTGCTGTAGGTGCTGAGCAGGTGCTGGGTGCTGGGTGCCTGCACTTACCCCCTTGGTAACAGTACGTGAAAAAAGTAATTACAAAGCCAATGCTACAATAGAAATACAAAAACCGAATACGAAAGGTGCCCTGATACCAATAATTAAAATTCGATATTTGTAAATAAAAACTTGACTGGGTGAAAGACAATATCATTTGAAAGCAAATATCACTTTTACTCAAGAACTCAGCATCATACATTTACTTTCTCTGTGTTGTTTATCTTCAAATCGTTGTACTTTCCAATTGTGTTGTTTCTAATATTTTAATCCAGAGCTCTTTCCTTAATATATGTTCAAATTATTAACAACCCTGTTTTCCTGATGTCATTGAACAAGTATCGTTTCTCATCACCTTAGACAGTTAACGACAAGGGTTATCGCATTTGGTACCTAATAGAAGCCAATGTTTGAAATAATGCCGTTAACCTGAACGGTACCAAACGCAGAATTCAGCTGGTTTTTAATTCTTGAAAGCACGGCTTTCTAGGGTGTGGGTGTGGATGTGTGTGGATGTGAGTGTGGCTGTGGGTGTTGGTATTAATTTCACACCCGCATCGACACCCACACCCACACCCCACACTCACACCCCACACCCACACCCCACACCCACACCCATACTCACACCCATACCCACACTCACACTCACACCCACACTCACACTCACACCCACACTCACACCCATACCCACACCCCACACACCCACACCCACACCCATCCCACACCTACACCCTTTTGAAATATGTTATGAAACTTTCTGTGAGCATTTCATAGATTCTCATATGCATCGACGTTGACATTACATTATTCAGATACCTTTTGCTTTACTCTTTTTAATTAGAGAAATTTTGTGCTAATTATAAACATAACTTGTAAGTGTGAAACAAGTCACATGGAATAGATTCTTTCTAATTTTTTCGCATTTTTTTCACCAATTCTCAAGGTCGAAGAACTTCTATGAAGTTATGTGATTTACTCCTTAAAATTTCTCTATCCCAACTTCTCGATATAATATTCATTGAGACTGACTTAGTTCTTATATAATCACAGATTAAAACGAAAATGCTTTGAATGAATTCTCTCCTAGCGATTAGTAGATTAGTCTTCAAACATTTTTTTTTATTCGTTCAGTCATAATCATTGAAGTTGTGTAGTAAATTTTGCAAACATTATGTTTCCAAGCAAAATGCATAACAAAAAAGGCTAAAACGATCTGAAAGAAGTAAATTTGTGGTTTTGTTAGTAATTGTGGAGCTAGAGATATATTCAGTCGATTCGTCTAGACGTTTTCTTCCATAATTGTTTTTTTTTTGATAAAAATAACATACTAGTCTTCGTAACCAAAAGGTTCGAAGACAATCGTATTGTTTAGTACAATTCACATTCGTTTACGAAGAATTGCGAATATAACAGATCTAACTTTGAATCAGATTTTCAAGTGAATGATGTGTAATTTCAAAGATCAGATGGGTTCATGATAGCTCAAAACCTTGATTTTTTTCACTGTTTGTTAGGGTTTCTGAAGAAAATATGTTTTTTTTAATAAGAACAAGGTTATAGCTAATTGATGAGAAATTATAAATCATTACTTGGTATTCTACCTGCCATATTCAATTTAACAAATTAATATTTAAAAAAAACGTATGCGCAAAACACCAATCATGACGATGCATAATATTGATAATTGCATGCGTAAATATGACGACGTAAATGTGAGGAAAGAAAGAGAAAACTGTATAATTATAGAAGAAATTATTCTCTTCAGTGACAAAATTATATATTCTACTGAGGTAGTTTGTTTAAAATCATTACATATATCATGTCTACTTCTCATCATCATCACCATCATCATTCTCAAAAATCGGAACCAATGGTTTCAACAGTTCCATCTGGTAGCAAAGCAAGAATTCATATTATCTACTATTCTATGTATGGTCATGTTTCAGCATGTAAGTTTAAATTTGAAAATAAATTACGAAAAATAAATATATGCTTATATTTCTAGTGGCTAAATCTATATTAAAGGGCGTTGAAGCAGTTGGTGCTGAAGGTCGTTTGATTCAAATACCAGAAACATTATCAAAAGAAGTTTTAGAAAAAATGCATGCACCAGAGAAAGATAAAAACATTCCAACAATATCAATGATTCCAGGCATAGAAAATACAGTTACACTTGAAGATGCATTGGTTAATTGCGATGGTATTCTTATGGGTATTCCAACTCGTTTTGGTGGAATGCCTGCACAAGTTAAAGCTATATGGGATGCAACAGGTGGATTATGGATGAAAGGTGGACTTGTTGGAAAACCAATCGGTGTCTTCTTTTCAACAAGTACACAAGGTGGAGGGTAAGAAAATAATTTTGAATATCATTAAAATTCTATATGAATTTCTGATAGACAAGAAACAACAACATTAACGTCATTTACAAATTTTGCTCATCATGGAATGTTATTTGTATGTATTCAAAAATAAATTTCTATAATTAATACCGTTTCTTTTTGTACAGGTACCTATTGGTTATACTAGTCCACTTTTGACAAATATGAATGAAATTCATGGCGGTAGTGCATATGGTGCTGGTAAGTGATTAGATTATCTATTTCGTTCTTTGGACTTTTATTTTGACTTTTTACAGGTACTTATGCTGGCATTGATGGATCACGAAAACCAACAGAATTAGAATTAAAACTAGCTGAACATCAAGGATCACATTTTAGTCAAGTAGTAATCGCATTAAAATTAGGTCGAGCAGCATTAGCATCTACCAATGCAAATCCAATTGATTCAAAACAAAAATAAAATGAATAAATAACAACAATATGGCCATAAAAAAACAGTGAAATTTCGGATATGCAATTTTGTTGACATTCTAATAAAACAGTTGTTCTTATTTATATTAAAACGATAGAAATTAGTATCAAATAAAAATTGGTCTAAGTAACTCAATGAATTATTTTTCTGCACAGAACCTTAAAATTGTCAAAGACAATTTTCTAAATACTATTTGTTCTTATTAGGACTATGCGTATCAAGTACTATGGATGTGGGTGTGCGTGCAATTAAAAAGGAGGGTGTGGGTGTGGGTGGTGTGGGGTGTGGGTGTGGATGTCAGTCTCTTCAATGAACCACACCTCACACCCACACCCACACCCACACCCTAAGATATATGCAGAAAAATCGAACAATAGAATTTCAACCTGAAATGTGGTTCATATATGGCGCTCGTGGTCACTAGAATATTCTAAAAGTTTCAGTGGAAAAAGTGTTTTCTTCTCGAGATATTGATTGTCAAAAACTGCCTCATCATGAATCAAGTGCAGAAAGATTCAATTTCTTAATAAATCAATATCACGAGAAGGAAACGTTTTTTTCTACTGAAACTTTCAGAATATTCTAGTGACCACGAGCACTATATATGGGCAAAGTTTCCGGTTGAAATTCTGTTGTTCGGTTTTTCTGTATATACCTTATGCTAGCTCAAAATAATCAGTAAAATAACTATAACTTCTGAAGGAAGACCCATCAGCCCAAATCCTCTTAGGGATTTTCCTAGAATACTGTCTCCAACATATGAACAAATTTCACCGAGAGAACGGCATGGATCAGTTGGATGGGGACTTTTCCTCGTTAGTTTGGCTGGACGAATATGAAAATATAAATGTCTGTCATTTACTTGTCTTTTTGACAAACAGTTTAGTCAAAAAGTCAGATAAATCAAGTCAAAAAGTCAGATAAATCAAGTCAAAAAGTTCAAATCAATATAATCAAGAAACACAGAAATCTTTACAACAGTTTATCAGTTCTATTTTTAATTGCATATTGTAATTTTTAGCTGAACAAAGAAGAATTCTTTCCACTTGTCCATTGGCTAAACTAATTTTGTTTGAATAATATACTTAGGGTAATCCAAAAGTAGTGGTGGTGGTACTTTATTTTCTTATAGAAAGCTTGAAAATTTTTTTTATCTAGTGATAGAGAAAATGGCGCTGTAGTTTTTCTATGCTATTTGATCACTATTCAACTAATGTCATAATAATAAAATTCCAATAAGAACTGTATTTGTTGAAAGTTAGCTGATAGCATTAGATCATAAGGTGTAGAGCACTTTTGCATTTACTTTATTATCATTTAATATGTTGTATTAAAAAAAACAAAATATACAATAAGATGCAGCATGAAAAGCTCTACTATTTATAAAGGATCACTTATTTTATACTTGCACTTTTTGTTTTCCAAATCGATAAAATCCTGAGTGTGCAAATTTCGACGTTGCGAAAACGAGATTTTCTTTTTTTGGTAAAAGGCGAAATCGTTTTTTTCCTATCTCATCTTTTTATAATTATTCTTTGTAAATTGTAGAGCTTTTCACGCTGCATCTTATTGTGTATTTCATTTTTTTAATACAACGTATTAAGTGATAATAAAGTAAAATGTAAAAGTGCTTCACCCAGACTTGGAACCGATCCGACCGGACCGAACAGAACCGTATTTTTGCTAGTTCATCATTACAAAGTTGTTGTTTGCCCCCAAGAATTTTCTCTACTGAAAACGGTGTTTTTATGAAATTTTCAAGTCAGAAGAATGTGTTTGTGAAAGACTCAATAGATATCTTGTCTTCAACTTGACTATAAACGATTGATTGTTCTCTTTATAGCTCTATCGATTTCTTTCTCGCGTATCGCTCAATTTAACTTAAATCAAATGATATATATTCTTATTCTGCTTAGGCAGCTGCCTGAATCAAGAAAAATAAATATTTACAATTTTGTGTTAGATTTGTTATAAACTTCCTGTTTTTCCTTTTATGAAATTCAGATGAAAAAACAGATTTGGTCTAAATAGTTAATTTATATCGATGCCGAACTCGAAAGTTTGACGCACCTTGCTATACAAAGTGGTGATGAGAGTTTCATTCCCAAGTTTTAGTTTCCAGTTCGGACTAGCGGTGATGATTTCCTTTTAATTTATTTTAAATTTCAATTCTTGCGAATTTAAATTTCAAATAAATTTCAATTTTTCAGATGTGAAAATTTAAATTTATTTTCAATTTAAATTGGATTTACATAAATTTTAAATTCAGTTTTAATCAATATAAATCAAATTTAAACGAAATCAAATTTAATTAAAATTCATTTAATTAGATTTAAATTTCATATGAATTAATGTGAATGAATTGAAATCTAATTAAATGAATTTAAATTGAATTTATATTGATTTAAATAAATTGAAAAAAATTTAAATAAACTTAAATAATTTAAACAAATTTATATTTATGTAAATCCAATTTAAATTTACAAAATTTATTTTTGGATTTATCAAACCTTCGTAAATGTAAAGTGATCACTCCTAGTTCGGATTTCTACACGCAAATATTCAATTCCCCTTCGCCACCATTTTATGTGAAAAAATACTTTCATGGTCGGTTATTTCCGCCGGATTTTTGCCAGTTTGGCTGTAAAATTCATCCAGCCGGTTGCTGGCCGGATCGGACCCGACAGATTCTTCAGCCGACTGGACCGGACAGAAAAAACCTGTCCGGTTCCAACTCTGCCTATCCTCAGAGTCTAAGAGAATAAAATCTTGTTAGATCTACCCACCTCAAATCAGTTACATCTTGATTAGACTACTTCGAGATTGTCTATTCTCAATCGTTGATCGATTTCTCAACATGTTTTCGAACACTGAATAATCGAAAAATGATCTAGAAATAAAAATTCTTAGCGCAGTAGATTTGAGTACATCTATAATGTGACACATTTTCGTGATTAAATCTGTGACAGTATCCTGAGCGAGATATGAATACGACATATTTTATTGTACATGTAAGTTGTCTCTTTTAAAATTTTTTTTATGAATTACTTACGAAGAAATTTAACAAAATAACTTGCTTTAAACCATTTAAACCAACCATCTTTATCAGCACCTAGAAAGAATGAGATATGAATTTGATTCATGCTGTAGCAAAGACATTTTTTTATTCTCTTTTCAGACATTGTTGCTAATGGTAGATCTTCAAAATCTAGAGATGATCAAAATTATCAATTCATCAGATGCCTTTTCATAAGATCAATCAAAGTTTTCCGCAGCAGATACTTTTGAAATTTGTAAGTTCTATGTAAACTTATCTTGTTCTATTAAAAGTTTTTGAACGAGATATTGTAGATTTTTTGCTTGATTGTTTAATAGTTTGCGCTATCTACAAACTATCCACTCTGTTTAAACTTTATCTTTAGCTATCCACAGATAAAATAACTACCAAAGACTATCATAGAACAATGATGATCTGATGATCTGCAAATTATGCAGCAAATTTTTTTTTCTGTGCTAAAGCGTTATTGCCGAAGTTCATATTTAAATAAAACATTCCTGAAAAGAAATATTACACGCGAACTACGAATATAAATATTGTGTTATTCTTTTTTTATTATATCAAACGTAATATCTCTGCAGTTTCAAATATTGGTCATTAGTTGGAAATTAAAGCTACTTCATCGTTTATAGCTAATAACTGGAGTCATTTCGTGAAATAATAGAAGTTTAAATAGTTTATGATATGCAACGTATAATAAGTTCTCTAGAAGCATATATGAATTTTTCATATTCATTACACAGATAAAAATTTGTAAATGATGAGATTGATAAACTTCGGCATACAGTCTTAACATGAGTGGATGAAAGCTTTTTAAAACCATCCCTAATATCCATCTATCTTAACGTAGAAGTAGATATCCGTTTTAGATATCAAAAACTAGAACAACTTTTTTTTTCAACTAATTCGATTGTGAATTCAATGATATTTATTAATAAATTATTCTATAATCAGGATTATCTCATCAATAAAACATAATCAAAGTCAGTATTATCTCCTATTTGACATATAATTTATTCCTTTATTTCAAAAACGATCACTTATTCAATAACTATTATCTCTTTTGCATGTTATTTACAAACATGAAAATATACTAGATTTACAATAGATATTCGTTTACAACCAATAAGGAAGTTTGCCATATGTAATGGAAAAAAAAAACTTTTTTTTTTACCTGATTCATCTCGAGTAATAAGTTGATATTTTGGAATAGAACTATCTGTATTAATCAATAAATCTTGTACAGTTGAAGGTACAATATAATCATTTGTATCTGGATGAAAAAGTACTATTGTTTCATCAGCTGGTAAACCATATGCAGTTTTAACCGACTTAAGCAAAGATTCATAAGATGCATTTTGATAAATTTTAAAACGTTTTTCAACTTGAACATGCTCAAAAATAATATATTTTGATTCATTTGTTATTGGTGATGTTGTTCGTTCTAAATAAAGAAAACAAAGATTATTAATATACAGAGATCGAGCATTAATGAATAAAAATGAATAACGATTAATAAAAAATCCTCGATTTTTCCTTATGCTCGAAATAGAATTCAACAGGAAAGAGTCGTTGAAACTAACCCATTTTGAATGAATTTTTGCTTAAAAAATAAACTTTTATATTGAATTTTGGTAATGTGAATTGAGTTGATTAACACAATAGATAGAATAGAATATAGGAAACCATGATAAACAATGGAAAATCATGTAATGGATTGGACAAGAAAACGAAGAAATCAGCAGACATTGAAGATAGATGGCATCACGGAACAGCTACAAATCAGCATAAAAAATGGTTTTTCTTTAGAAGGATGCATTTGTCTATTGTCTAGTTTACACATTATTTAGATATTTGTACTTAAATAACGCACTAAATACCCTGAAAGAAAATGAATTGGATAAGAGCATGTTTTTGGTGAGGAGAACTGTGATTGATGTCAATGATCAAAAAATAATTTGAGTTATTCATTCTCCAAAAAGGTTAAGATTATAAATATTCTCAATTTTCATTAGATATTCTATTGTCAACTAAAAAACAGACCGTTGACTGAGATCTAATTCGACTTGTCGCATGTAAATAGTGCGTTGCGTATTAGGAAACTGAACCTGATGTTTGAACACAAGGGTGTGGGTGTGGGTGTGGGTATGGGTGGGTGTGGGTGTGAGTGGGTGTGGGTGGGTGTGGGGGGGGGGGGGGGGGGGTGTGGGTTGGGTGTGGGTGTGTGGTATGGGTATGGAGACAATCGAGACTCCATTGCACCCACACCCACACCTAAGCCCACACACCCGCACCCGCACCCCCCCCCCCCCACACCCAACCCACACCCCACACTCACACCCACACACCCACACCCACCCTCACTATCGTTTACATTTCTATTTTTTTTGAAAAATAAACTAGTGTTTCCATATATATGAACAACTTTATTTGAGTAGCACAAAGTAATTTTAAAAGTTTTATCGATTCTCCTTTAGATGAACCATCGTCGCTAGAGAAACTACGATTCGAAAAAGAGAGATATCGTTGCAACAATTTTACAAATTAAACGAAGATATCTCATCTTCGCTAAGACAAACTAGGGTGTGGGGGTGGGGGTGGAGGTGGCTGTTAGTAGAACACAATAAATTAGGACACCCACAGCACAAACACATCCATGCTCACACCCTTTCTGAAGCTACGAGCAGAAGCAAATTTTAAGAGTATATTTTAAGAAAGAAACACCAAAGTTCTGAACCTGAAGGGGCTCTGAAAAGCTCCAAGAGATTCTTAATATAACGGAGCTCTGGAGTCCTCAAATACAGAACATTACGGAATTTTTCGTTCATGTATTAGTATTAGATAAGGATGTGGGTGAGTGTGTGCGTGAATGTCTATCGTCTACGAATCCACAAGCACAGCTACATCCATCTACTACTCGCACACTCACAGCCCACAGCAACACCCGACTCCCATATTCACACTCGTCCACACCTACACCTACACCCACGCGCACACCCCCACATCCACGTTCACACCGACACCGACACCCACACCCACACCGACACCCACACATACACCCACCAACACCCACCCACACCCACACCCACCCACACCCACCCTCACCCACACGCACACTCACATCCACCCACACCCACACCCACCCACACCCACACCCACACCTACACCCACCCACACCCACCCTCACCCACACGCACACTCACATCCACCCACACCCACACCCACACCCACACGCACCCTCGAGAAAAAAGCTTCTTGCTGCATCAACAGGAAAAATATATTTCTGTCTGTATTTCAAACAACTTGTTTGCATTCTTGGTTAGTTATAAAGCGATAAAAAAAACCCAAAAGGACTGGGACAAAATCAAACGCAACACTTTATGCATCCATGATGTATACTACAAGAAACGCGACACCATTATCGAGCATCGTCGAGCCAACGCAATGCATCACTGAAAGCTATGTAATTATCTGGATCGACGAGAACATTGACCCAAACAATGAAAAATGTAAAAATACACTAACACAGTTGGAAAACGTGACCGATGAAGTATATACTTTCACGAGTCCCGATGAAGGTTTGGATTTTCTCACTGACTTCAATGATCAAAAGGCATTTCTCATTCTGTCAAATCCTAAAGATCAAGGCATGATACCTATCGTAGATGATATTCCTTGTCTTCTGAGTGTTTATATCTTCTGCAGCAGAGAATCCCTAATCCACGATTGGAAAAAGAATTCCAGCAAAATTAAAGATATGCACACAGATATTAAGTGTCTCTATGAAGCATTACTAGATGCCATCAAACAGCGTTACCAAAACGATATCGCTATGAGTTTTGTCAGCGTCGACGAAGAAAATTTGGAAATAAACCTAGATCAAATAGAACCCTCATTTATGTACACACAATTGTTTAAAGAAATTGCACTTGAAATCAATCACACAAAAGAAGAAATCACAGACTTTATTCAATTTTGGCGGGATAAATGTAACGACAATCAGACAACATTGAATACCATCGAAGAGTTCCAGAACAATTACAGTTCTGACAGGTCCATTTCGTGGTACGTTCATGCGCCTTTCATCTACCAGACGGTTAACCGGTCACTTCGAACACTGGATACTCTAACAATGAAGAAAATGAGCTTTTTTATTCGAGATCTTCACTTCCAACTGGAACAATTACACAAAGAAGAGTCTACAAAAACAAAAGATGACACCTTTATTTTATACAGAGGACAAGGATTATCCAAAGCCGATTTTGAGAAGCTTGAAAAAACCAAGGGTGGTCTCCTCTCATTTAATAACTTTTTATCCACCAGCCGAAGTCGGGAGGTTTCCCTTGCCTTTGCCGAGAGCAACGCATCAGAAGCTAACTTAGTCGGCATACTCTTCATAATGACTGCTACACCTTCAACTTCATCAACTCCTTTTGCCAACATCCAAGGACTGGGTCGATTCCACGACGAAGAAGAAATTCTCTTCTCCATGCACACAGTTTTTCGTGTCAATGAAATCAAACAAGCGCTCAACAATCCCAACCTCTACGAAGTACAACTCACTCTCACCAACGATGATGATCCACAACTATCTATTCTCACATACTGTATACGGCAGGAAATAGATGGGAATGATTGGAGTCGTATGGTTCACTTGATGCTCAAGCTTCACCATTACAAAACAGCACAGGAAATTTGTGATTACCTACTCGCCACATCTTCCACGGACATAGAGCAAGCAAATGTGCTGAATAGCTGCGGAAAGATCGAAGACCAACGAGGTGACTACCCAAAAGCACTTTCATTTTTTGGAAGATCACTTGAAATCCGAAAAACAGCTCTCCCTCCGAATCATCCCGACTTGTCTACTTCCTACAA